CTTGTTCTAAGTAGGTGCTTTAGACCACTGAGCCATCTCACCAGCCCCAAAATTCACATTTTTAGTGGGAATAAATTGCTTGGTTTTCATTTTTAACCCATGTAATATACCTTGACTAATACAACTAACTGTGTGTAACTCTACCCATGGGATCATTTTATTTGGGCTTAATATATCTTTATGTTGAATTTGCTTTCCCTACCTAGAGGATTTTCAAAAGAGATGAAAGAAGGTGCTCTCAGATGGCAGTTCCAAAGTGGCACCAAGTTCTCTTCTTGACATTTCCCCACAATTCATCAAGGATGGACTGAATATGACTGGAGCTGTTATCCTTCCTATTCCTCACCAAAGGGACAATGGGGTGACTCTTAGTGGCTCCCTAAGGGTGTCTAAGGTAGCAGCTCCCTAGGGCCTGCAGGGCAGGTCCTGATGGAACCTGCTCTTTCCAGTGAGAGGTGATGCAGGCAGCCTGGAGATTGAGCTAGAGTAGTGAGCTAATAGCCTCCTTGGAAGTTTATGTTATTGAGGTTAAGAGTATGCCCAATAGAATGCTGAGAAACATTTACATTGAAATTTAATATTTGAAAACGTACCTATTGGCCCAAAAGCATTTAAGTCAGTTTGTGGTATTAAATATAACAGGAACCCAGGAAATAGCTCAGTGGCATAAGCGCCTATCTGGCAAGCACAAGGTCCTATGTCCAATCCCTGGTATATATAATAAAGTCCATTTAAAAGTGGCAGAGATGATGGCTCAGTGGAGTAAGCGCTTCCCTGGCAAGCGCAAGGGCCTGAGTTCAATTCCTGGTTCTGCAAAAAAAAAAAAAAAAAAAAAAAGATAAACTACAGTATACAGACCAGGCGTGGTGGTACATGCCTGTAATCCCAGCATTGGGGAGGCTGAAAATAGGATGACTACAAGTCCAAGCTGCATAGTGAGACCCTTTTCCAAATAGATAAAATGAATAAAAATAAACTATAGTATATAAGCTTTTTGGTGAGAAGCCTCATTAAAGAACAAATGTTCATTTCAACCCAACAGTATTTATAAATCGCTGTTAACTTAAAGATTGCAAATAGCAACAAAGCCAACATGTCGTTAAATATCTCCATGCCTTCATCACTAATCTAACAATATGGATGGGGAATCCAGAGACATCAGTATGTCTATAACTAGGCGGCCTGACATATGAAGAAGTGGCACAAGAGGTTCACAGACCAGTGCATGACAAAAACAGCTACAGCTACATTTCTACACATCTACATTTCTGTAGATGTGAGCTTTCTGAAAAGGTGCCTAGAAACACGGGCCCTCCTGTCCCTTACCAGAAAGGTATATCTATTAAGTCTTCAATGAATCCACAAGTGTTCCTTATTATGGAATAGGAAGAAATTAAATTTCCAGGTAAAGTTAAGACCATAACAACTGCTTAAATCACACGAATTTTTTTTACCAGTATGTATTTGCTGTTCATACCAGAAGTGACTACTTGCATTGCGGGTATGTGGTACATGGACATGACACACCTTCTTTTTTACATCTCCTTCTCCTCTATCTCTTGGTCATCTTCCCATTTATAGTAGCTCTATCTCCCTGTTTCTTTTTATCTATTTTTCATTTTGTCCTTAATTTTACTTTGGATTGCTTATGAGAGAAACCATATGGTGTTTAAACTTGTGTCTGATTTATTTCACTTAACATGTTTTCAAGGTGCAAATGACTACAAATGACTCAAATTTATCATTTATAGCAGAGAAGTACTCCATTATGTACAAATACTATATTTTCTTTATCCACTTGCAATTGGTGAACAGAGAGGCTGTTTCTAAGATTAGCTGTTATGAATCATGCTGCTGTAAACATGGGTAGGCATATATCACTGAAATGCAGTTTTTAACTCTTTCAGAAAGATACATAGTAGGGGAATCGTTCTGTCAAAAGAATGTTTATTTTTAGTTTTTTGAGGAATCTCCACACTGATTTCCAGCATTTGTTATTATTGGGTTATCTTGCGGATGGCCATTCTTTCTAGGGTAAGGTAGAATCTCAGTGTTGTCTTAATTTGTACTTCTATAGTGGCCAATGATACTGAACATTTTTTCATATATTTCATGTATTTTGTATTTCTTCTGAGAAGTGTATTCATTTCTATTGTCCGTTTTTTGATTGGGTCTTTTACAGGAAGATCTAATATTTTTGAGTTCTTCTGTATTCTAGGTATTAGTTCTCTCAAGGTATAGCTGGCAACAATTTTTCCATTGTGTACATTTTCACTTTGTTGATTGTTTTCTTTACTGTACAGAAACTTTTTAATTTGACATGATCCTGTTTGTTGATTCTTGATTTCTGTGCAGCTGGGAAACTCTGCCTATGCCTATGATTAGTGTTTTGTTTTTTTTTTCCCAAAGTTTTATTGATAAACAGATAGCAATGAGACAGTTTCAAAT